GAGAGTTAGTGGCTTAGCTAATTGTGATACAAAATTCCTATGATTTTTCAGATTTAAGCATATATGTTTTTAATTTAAAAAGTTTAAACAAATTTGTTTAGTGTAACTGGTTATGTTTCTTGTTTTTTCTCAAAGAGATCACAATTCAAATCCATCACTTATGTATTTTTCTTGTGCATAAGAAAATAATAAATGACTATGAAGACGAATCTACCCTTCCTACTTTTGCTATGTATGCAAAGATTTTGTAATGGGGGAAGCACATTTCCCATTTCACTATTATATTAGGTGTAGCGAAAGTAACCCGGGTGGTTGAGCGTTTAGTGGGTCGGATACTATTTGAGCTCGCTTACATTAGTAGCGCCTTTTCCATCCGCATTGGCCAAACCAACAACACTCAATCTTTCCATATTTACCCCTCCAAAAATTCCTCTGGCGTGAAAATAGAGGCAGAGGAGGTTAGTCGGTTAATGAGTCTGATGGGAAGTTTGGAGAGACGCAGATGGTGCACTTTAGTGGGTCGGGACACTATTAGGACCCGTTTACATAAGTAGTGTCTTTTCCATCCGCGTTCGCCATAGCAACATCACTCAACCTTTTCATATTTACCCCTCTCTTAAAAGACACATGTGCCCCATATTCACTCAAAAGTTGTGTTTAAAAATATTGTTACTTTATGGTAGTAATAACAATTAAGTCTATGTTAAGAATTCTACAGCGCTTCTACACATTTAAGAGTGCAATTCGGTATGCAATATTTGAATCAATGACATTTTGGTTGCTAACTGTGGTGGAAAAGTCCTATGATTTTTCAGATTTAAGCTTCTAGTATGTTCTTAATTGAAAAAAATCACACAAATGTGTTTATTTTAACTGGTTATGTTTCTTATCTTTGTTCGAATGGACAACGGTTCAAATCTCGTTACTAATGCATTTTTCTGTAAATAAGAAAATAATAAATGATCGTGAAGACGAATCTACCCTTCCTACTTTCACTCTGGATGCAGAAAATTTGAAACCCATTTCAAATTTTCTCATTTGGCTTTTATTTATTGTGTAGATGTAGACTTTTTAAAGTGGAGGCCATCCCATACCTATCCTTTGTACAAAATTAAGTCAATTAACCTTAGGATTAATACTACTAGGAAACCTGAACTATCAAGAATGTATCATTTGTGCCCCAAACTATTCAATATGACATTTGTGTCCTGACGTATGATAGTTGTGTGTCATTTATGTCCTGCCGATTTCGTTGACCGTTAAATAGACCTGGCAAATGAGGACCCGACCCGTTGACCCGACCCGAACCCGCCCAAAAAATAGAGAATGGGTTGAGGTTTTTATAACCCGAAACCCGAATGACCCGAACCTGATTAACCCATAGTTTTTGGATAGGGTTGGGTTGGTTTGTGGGTCAACCCGCTAGACCCGTTTCATTGCATATGTCACGATCACTGATACTTTGGTGAGATGTTTAAAAAAATTTAGGCAAAACACACTTGTATAGCCAAAACTATCACCTTTGTGCCACTTATAGCCACTTTTGGCGAAATACCACTAATAGCCAATTTTGAAAGATGTTGCGTGCCAAATATAGCCATTTCCGTTAGAAACTATAATGGTGTTAATAACACCGTCAACTTATTTGACGGTCATCAGATGACGAGGCACCAACTAAGCCAACACGTCAGCGCCAACTAAGCAATTATTTACACGTTAGATATTTAATTATTTATTATTAAGGCGACGAATCAAAGGATACAAAGTATATGATTTCCCCCCGAAGATACAGATCTACAAATCCGAGTTTTTGCTTTTTAATTTCCTTTCGTTAGTTTATTTATTTTTTATGGAAAATAAATAAAAATAAATAATCAAATTCCATATCAAATGCCACCTCAACGCTGACTAGACTTTTTATTTAAAATTAACAGTTAACGCCGATAAACTCTAACGAAATATAATTTTTTGGTTTTGGTGATAGTTAAATAGATGCATTGTCATCAATGCATGCATAATAATATACATGTATATTAGAAAATCAGTGTATTGTAGTTTCGATTGTTTGGTTTATGTGATAGTTATTGTGTTATTTAAATATGTTATATTACTTTTTGGATGAAATGTCACTTTTACCCTTTGTTTGTAATATAAAAAAGCAAGACACATAAAAAGGTAGGGACAAAATTGGAAGAAAAAAAAAACACAACAATCTCAACCAAACATTCTCAACAATCTCACAAAAAACTTGAGATTTAACTATCACTCATTTTGAGTGATAGTTTGTGTCACATCAAGCAAATAATGCATGCATTGTTTGTGCAGAAAATTCAAAATAACGATGCATTGTGTTGTAACTATCCCAACGAAACAATCACCAAAACCAAACGACCCCTTAGAACACAAATATCATATTGAATATTTTAGTACACAAATAACACATTCTTAATAGGGTTAATACCCCATTTGGCACGAAGTTTGGCGTAAGTGACAGTTCTGACCCCATTTTCCAAATAAGAAATTTATGGCCTACTTTTGAAACTATTGGACAAATTTGGCCCAAAATTTTCTTTGACCGGTGAATATTGACAGTCAAACACTATTCCGTTAGTGACTCAGCAAGAAACCGTTGATGTGGCATGTCACGTCTTAAAATAATATATTTTTAATTTAATTAAAATACAAATTAAGAAATTAAGAAAAAACAACCCTAAACTAAATCAACCTCATCGTGTTAACAGGAGGGAGGCGCTTCGTCCTTCTCCGACAACCACCGCTCTGCCGCCTCTCCCATTCCTTCCCCAAACCCCCCAACTACTACAATTTCTTCTTCTTCTTCCGCTACTTTCTAACTTTCCCATCCAGTCATCCACCGATTCCTCTTTCCCTTTAAGAGAAGCCCAAAATCAAAGAAATTCTAAACAAAACCCTGAACACATGGGTGCTACTCAAAGGGAAAAGAGAAAAATACATGAAGATCCGCCACATGTGGAGCCCAAGTTCCGCCACTTCCTCCTCCGACTCTGCCGCCTACACTTAATCGGCAACGCTAGGAGATTCTCCGTCGAAATCGAGACTGTGTCGCCGCCTTGCAGGACTTTCTGGAACTCGGAGCTCCGATGCTCTTTTCCGCGACGGCCGGAGCGAGGTCGACCGTCTCCACAGCATGAACCTGACATTCCTGCAAGTTGAGAGCCTGGAGATATTTCTTGACTTGGTCGTTCGACGGTGAGAAATTACCACCCATCCATTGGGCAACATCACAGATCAATGGGTCCTCATCATCGAGGTTCGTGTGGCGACAAGGGCTACCCGAAACCTCCTTCCCGGACGTATGCAGGTGGGTTCTCGCTTCTGGCGGCGATGGCGGAAGGAGTGGCGAGGAGAAGAAAGAGAGGGATGGAAGGGATAGAAAAATGAATGGTGGGAGCGCGGCGACAGTGGTCGACGAAGGAGGAGGCGCCTCCCTCCTGTTGACGATGATATAGATTGAGTTTAGGGTTTTTTCCTTAATTTTTTATTTTAATTGAATTTTAAAATTAAAATAATATTATTTAATGACTTGGCATGCCACATCGACATTTTTTGGCTGAGTCACTAACAGAATCGTGTTTGACCGTGAATATTAACGGTCAAAGAAAATTTTGGGCTAAATTTGTCCAATAATTTCAAAAGTAGGCCATAAATGTCTTATTCAAAAAATGGGGTCAGAACTGTCACTTACGTCAAACTTCGGGCCAAACTAGGGTATTAACCCTTCTTAATACCGGGTGTATCAATTGTATTAGCCTTAACCTTACATAACTAAATATTAACCTTACATAACTAAATATCTTTTAAGGCTTGACCTTTGAAGCCCAAACACAAACCTGAGCCAACTATCTTGTTTTAGGCAAGTAGAGCCCCTACAATTGTAGGACTTAAAGCTAGGGATGGCAACAAAACCCGAACCCACGGGTACCCACCCGACCCAATCCGGTCAACGTGGGTAAAATCCGTGTTGACGGGTTTTGGGCCGGGTTCGGGTTTAAACCTGCTACACTATTCACCGGGTAGGGTTGGGTTTGGGTTTAGGTAAACCCGCCCCATGGGTACCCACCCACACACAGTAAATTACTTTCCCGGTATATTTAATATTCTAAATAATATATCTTCCTTAAACAACTAATATTCTTTATGTTTGTGGAGACATGTATAATTTATTCTTTCTAATTGTTTAGAATGAAGTTGATATTATGAAGTGGAGATTGAAGAAACTTAGTTGACGAGGAAGAAGCTTTCAATTAATCTTATTCTTTATAGATGTTTACCTTTAATTTTGAACAATTTGTATTGATCAATTGCGGTTTGCTTGTATGCTCTAGATTGATGTTTTTTGTATGAATAATTTGTATGAGAAAATTGATGTTAAACTTTTATTTTGAAAGAAACTTGTTATTGTAAAATTTTTACCACAAAAACCCACGGGTACCCATGAACCCACGGATACCCAGCGGGTTGGGTTGGGTTTGAGTTTTTCAAACCCAGCGGGTTTTACCCCGGGTTTTTTTGGCGGATAAACCCATGGGTTTGGGTTTGGATTTGACAAAACCCGCCCCAACCCGACCCATTGCCATCCCTACTTAAAGCCCACCAACTAGAGATCGAAAAGGAGTATATAAATAGAGAGAGACGGAAAGCAAAAGAAGGAACTCTCTCTGTTTCTGTTCGCGGCCAGCCACCAGCCTAAGCAACGAGTCAAGTCTTGAGCCACAGGAAGGAACTGGAGTTGCCCTGCCTGCCTACATCCTTCCATTTGTTCGTCTTCCGTGAGTTCCGTCGTATCGGAGAGAAAGAAGGAAACAGTCGGCAGCTGCTGCAGCGAACTCCAAACAAACAGTTCTTTCCGTGAGCTACCGACCCAGCCCCCAAAACCCTATTCCAGCTCAACGTGACAAACCCCAACTCTTATCTAAAACCCGAGCCAAAAACGCCCCTCTGGAACCGTAGGCGAACAAACCATGCCTTCCTACTCAGCTATTTTCCAGGGCTGTGTGAAACCCACCACTGTCATCGTTTCTTTAAGACCCACTTGCTCCGCCGTTGCTCTTCCTCTACGCTGCCGGCGGAGCGCTCATCGTGTTGTCGCATCGCTAAAACCCTCCTTCCCTTGCCGCCAATTCATGGCTCTTAGTTCATCCTCCGTCTACGTTCCTCCCCATTTGAGACAGCTTGGAAATGGACGGTGCTTGAGCGGCGGTGACGTTTATAGCAGCAGGGGTTTTAGGGGATCTTCTCCTTTAATTTTGGATTGGAAGGTTGCTGCCATCCCCAATTTCTATCCCCGGAGCCTGAATTACGGCCGGTATGCTTACCAGGATGAGTCCAGCGATGAGTCCGAGCCGGAAACTGGGTCGTCGATGGTTGGTTTCTTTGGATTGCTCATTTCTATCCCTGCAGCTCGTTTTGAATTTGACGGAGATTCCTTTTTTGTTTTGTTTTGTAGAGTGGTTCAACGCTTGAAAACTTGGAGGATTGGAGATGGAAGCTGACAATGCTAATGCGCAATAAAGGCGAGCAAGAAGTTGTATCCAGGGAAAAAAAGGATAGGCGAGATTTTCAGCAGATCTCTGCTGTGGCTGAGCGAATGGGTTTATATGGGTAGGTTTTGCTTATTTTGAAAGCTGCAATATTGTGTTTGCTTGTTTCATTTTGGCTTGTAGTTGAGTTTTGTGACATTTCCTTAGCTCTATTCTACTCCTTTCAGCCGTCAGTACTCAAAAGTTGTCGTCTTTAGCAAAAATCCTCTGCCTAACTACAGACCTGATCTCGATGATAAACGGCCACTGAGAGAGGTATTACTTTTACATGCCTGGTAGTTGCTCTTTCGTAATTCCTAGGTGTATTTTGTAGGTTCTTTGAATTTACTTGTCACAACTAGTTTTGGACATTTGTTTACTGATGTTCTTGAGAAATGTAGGTGATATTACCATTTGGAGTGCAAAGAGAAGTGTCGGCTCATCTCAATTCTCACCTTTCGAAAAAGTCATTAAGCAGAGGGTCTTCTACCTCCTCTTTGAGGTCGAGTAGTGGTGGGAGTTTGGCTTCTGAAGAGACAGTAAATGGCCAGCGAGAGCCTGTTTTACCGGATATTTCAACACGTGAACGAATGTATCGTCGTAAAAGTTTGCAAATGCGTGATCAGCAGCAAGAATGGCTGGTATTTCCTTGTTGCTAATTACTTAGGTTCTGTCTTTCATAAAGCGTGAATGGAAATAGTTCGAGATTGACTCATGGTTACTTTATTTATCTAGCCGCCTTACATATGCTTCCTCAAGAATCTCGAAAAGTTACACTTCTTGCTAAATGTTGCTTAACTTCGCTTTGTGCCTGTTCATTATGCATTAAAATGCAATTATCTTCATTGATTTAATCCCTCACTTCTTTTTAATCGACATTAATCATTATGCTCTAGTAACTTGGGTGCAGGAGGAACAAATACTGGAAAAGCTTTGCGATTTTGTTTCAGCTTCTTGTTTAACCGATATCAATCTAACTAATACTTTGGGCTGGCACTAAATTATCATCATGACATTCTTTTGTAGGATTCTCCTGAGGGCCAAAAGATGATTGACTTTCGTAAAAGTCTTCCTGCATATAAAGAAAAGGATGCATTATTGAAATCACTTGCTCAAAATCAGGTGATTGTTTTCTTGTTATTATAGTTTATTTTGATTTAAGTTTCCTGCTATATGTTCAAGCTGGCTTGTGCAATCTGTTCTTCTCTGAAGCCTGATTGTTGTCGTGAGGAGTAGATTCTCACCTTTTCTCTCTGCAATATAGAAATTATGTGAAGTAAAGTCCGACATAAGATTTAAGGATTATGGTATATATTTTTAGGGTTTACCTAAATTGACCCATCCCAATGTTCTTTTTAACTATGTGATCCTTGTCAAAAGAATGTTGTATTCTTTTCCTTAATAATATGCAATTAGTTAGTCTTCTTGACTTTGACTTAATCAAGTAGTTAACTGTATCATAAAATTTAAAAGAGAATTGTATGAGTCAACATTTTCGCCTTTCCAAACTATTGCATGCTCATACGAGTAGCTGAACCATAGGGATGATCTGAAAGGTTAGCGAGGATGGTGGCAGGAGCTGCTGGTGTCAGAATTTATTCGAGAACTGTGTCAGTTGGAGCATTCTTATGATAGCTTGTTGGAACTTACCTTTGTGGATTCTAAATAGAGTTGGACAGGAACAGACGTTTTATGCTGTTACTTTCTCCTTTACTAATTGTTGCTAACGTGGATCATGATATACACTTAAATTGAAGGAATGGAATCTGGCGTTTTATATTTAGTGATTGAATGTGGTAAATGTTGCAGGTCATCGTTGTGTCTGGTGAGACTGGATGTGGGAAGACCACACAACTCCCGCAGTATATACTAGAATCTGAAATCGAAGCTGCTCGAGGTGCTGTATGTAATATCATATGTACTCAGCCAAGGAGAATATCTGCTATGTCTGTCGCTGAAAGAGTTGCTGCAGAACGAGGAGAGAAACTTGGTGAATCGGTGAGGCTCTAGCTCTGTTTTGTTTTTGTACATTCCTCTTATAAAGAACTTTGTCCTGAAGTGTTATAGGTCCTTGTTGTTTCCATTCTTTTCTGTTCGTAGGTTGGTTACAAGGTTCGCTTGGAGGGAATGAAAGGAAAAGATACACGCCTCCTTTTCTGCACCACCGGGGTATTGTTAAGGAGATTACTTCTTGATAGAGACTTGAGAGGCGTAACTCATGTCATTGTTGATGAAATTCATGAGCGAGGCATGAATGAAGGTAAACCCTTTGGATATTAAAAGATTCACTTATATGATTGAGTACTTAAACACTGTGAATTCTGCAGATTTCCTTCTAATTGTTCTGAAGGATCTCCTTCCTCGTCGACCTGATTTGAGATTGGTTTTGATGAGTGCAACACTGAATGCTGAACTTTTCTCTTCCTATTTTGGCGGTGCTCCAACACTCCACATTCCTGTAAGTTCTTATGCTGATGAAGCTCGCTGTAATGTGGTTCCAATATATTGTCTGGTTCTAATGTGGTCTTTTTTTATGGTTTCACTAGTTGACTTTGAAGTTACTGATTTCATCCGGAAAATTTCATTCGGTTTTTGTTAAAGGCTTACCTCACTCACTCATTATGTCATAAACTACTAGCATTTGCTATCTAAACTTAAACATGAGTTCAACTAGTTAAGATGTTTCTCTACTGGTCTGTGTAAAAGAAGTTTGTTGCCGCAAATTGTGGTGAATTGATAGGGTACTTGGTGTTAAGGTCAACCAGCCGAAAGAATCAGTAGTTATGATAAACTTTTACTAGTTTGCAAGTGTGGTGGGTTACGATACCTAAAGTGATTGCAAAAGAGTTCTTTAGTGGAACTACTTGTCCATATACATGCATACAATATGTAGCGCAGTAGCGGAAGTTCCATTTACCCGATTTATGTAACGACAAGCTTTAAGGTGACTCCCTAGAGAAGAAGGGACGCTGGATATTTTGTCTACCTGTTTTCTAGGATAGGCTTAAGGTGCTTATTTATGCGATCAACTTCTGAAAAGAAGAATTAGGGTCAGTGCTCAAGATTACTGTCATTGCCAACTGGATGGCATTCCAACTGGCACGGTTGCTAAGAAAATAGGCTGTTTTTTAATTCGTTGGTGATGAGATGCTTAAGCTGCTCTTTTTGTTTGTCTACTGTTCCTTATCTGATTTTGTTGTTCTCTTGTTTTTCAAAAATTACTTCGTTGAATTGCAACTCGAAATCCGAGGGACAACTTGTTGATTGCACTGACACTCTTGTTGTCTGGGTCGAATGTACTTCATGTTTTCAGGGCTTCACCTATCCAGTACGGGCGCAATTTCTAGAGAATATTTTAGAAACCACTGGATATAGATTGACTCCGAATAACCAAATCGATGATTATGGTCAAGAAAAGACATGGAAGATGCAAAAACAAACTCAAGGTTTCAGGAAGAGGAAGAGCCAAATAGCTTCTGCTGTGGAGGTAGTTAGTTTGTAAACTGTCTTCAATGCCGTTATCAGGTTCTCGTTTGAGTTTCCTGATTCACTAGTTGTATTTGGTGTTTTTCTCAGGACACAGTTGAATCTACTGACTTTAGGGGTTACAGCCACCGCACCCAAGAGTCCTTGTCCAATTGGAACCCTGACTCGATTGGTTTTAACCTCATTGAGCATGTCCTTTGTCACATTGTAAAAAATGAGAGACCTGGTGCTGTGCTGGTTTTTATGACTGGTTGGGATGACATTAACTCGTTAAAGGATCAGCTGCAAGCTCATCCGGTCCTGGGCGATCCAAGCAAAGTCTTATTACTTGCATGCCATGGCTCCATGGCAAGCTCTGAGCAGGTATGTACCATATATGGTTTGAGATGGATTTGACATAGTTACTTCTCAGTGAAGTTTACATTCGCCTAACCCCTTATTGGTTGTTTGAAACCTCTGCCTTTTGCTGGTTTTCCGTTGTTCTTTCCTACCTGCTTGATTGTTCTCTTGGTATTATTGTTCTTATTACTGATTTGGAGGCTACAATCTTCTGTGTTTTTCTCACTTGTTCTCATCCAGAGACTAATATTCGATAAACCTGAAGATGGTCTGAGGAAAATTGTTTTAGCCACTAACATGGCTGAGACTAGTATTACCATCAATGATGTTGTATTCGTTGTCGACTGTGGGAAAGCGAAAGAGACATCCTATGATGCATTGAACAATACTCCTTGTTTGCTTCCCACCTGGATTTCAAAAGCTTCTGCACGACAAGTAAGCCCTAATGTCATAAAAAGAATGTTGAGTTGTTTGGATATGGCCTAAGAAATATGATGTATGTTGATAAGTTGGCTTCACAATATGAATCATTTCAACGTCTTTTCACCTGTTTCCTTGGGACACGGTAGTAAGAGATCATCTTCTGAACTGATTAGTTAGATTTTTGTTTGTTAATATTTCAGAGAAGGGGAAGAGCTGGTCGTGTGCAGCCTGGGGAATGTTATCATCTCTATCCCAAATGTGTTTATGATGCCTTTTCTGATTATCAGCTGCCCGAACTTCTGCGAACACCTTTACAGTCCCTATGTCTACAAATAAAAAGTCTACAGCTGGGAAGTATTTCAGAGTTCTTATCTCAGGCCTTGCAAGCTCCAGAAGCATTATCGGTATGCCTTATTCGAGTTTGACATTCTGTATTTCATGTCTCATAGCCTTTGGTAATTCATCTAGATCAACTTGATTGAATGTCCATTTGTTTTTAGGTTCAAAACGCTGTTGAATACTTAAAGGTGATTGGGGCACTAGATGAGAAGGAAAACTTAACAGTACTAGGTACTGGTTTTATTTAAGGACCTGTTGTCTTTTTGCCGTTTCAATATATCAATCACTCCGTTCTGTAGATAATAAACCTTAAAAATTTGAATTGAGTTTTCCGCAGGTCAACAGTTGTCAGTGCTTCCAGTTGAGCCGAAGCTTGGAAAAATGCTGATCCTAGGCGCCATATTCAAGTGTCTGGATCCAATAATGACTGTGGTTGCTGGTCTTAGTGTCAGAGAACCGTTCTTGATGCCATTTGATAAGAAGGATGTTAGTAATCTTGCAAACTCTCAACACAGCAATCATTTACTTCTGTTCTTATCATCCCATTCTTGGAGAAAACATTAAGCTTACTATCCCATTCCTTTGCAGCTTGCAGAGTCTGCAAAAGCACAGTTTGCTGCTAATGAATACAGTGACCATCTTACCCTTGTTCGAGCCTATGATGGGTGGAAGAATGCTGAGAGGGATCAGTCTGGTTATGAGTACTGCTGGAGAAATTTTCTTTCAGCACAGACTCTGAAAGCCATTGACTCTCTTCGCAAGCAATTCTTTTTCCTGCTTAAAGATGCAAATTTGATTGATCAGCAGCATCCAGAAAATTGCAACACATGGAGCCAAGATGTGAATCTTGTACGAGCCGTCATCTGTGCTGGACTGTTCCCTGGAATATGCTCTGTTGTGGTCAGTCTCATACGGCTCTCTGTTAACTTCAGTTCGTTTCCTCTGATTATGGAGCGAGGTTGATTTGTTTGTGCATGGATATATTTGTGTTTACGCAGAACAGGGAGAAGTCAATAGCGCTGAAGACAATGGAGGACGGTCAAGTTCTCCTGTATTCGGTAACCCCTACTTAGTCTTCCATTATCTGTTTCTCCCCATCCTAATTTATCTCGTGATAATAGCCCGATCTTGCTACTGAATTGCTTTCTTTGCCATATCTTTTGGCAATGGCCTGGTATTCCACAGAGTTCAGTAAATGGCAGTGTATCGAAAATTCCATACCCATGGTTGGTTTTCAATGAGAAAGTAAAGGTTAATTCTGTGTTTATCCGGGATTCAACTGGTGTATCTGATTCCGTACTCCTTTTATTTGGAGGGAACGTTTCAAGCGGTGGGCTGGTAAGTTTCTTGTTTCTTTTGCACCAACAATTGACTTGATTTGCTGTGTTAGCAATTGATGTTTTCCTTTCAATAAGCCTTGCATCCATTCTTCTACAGGATGGACACCTCAAAATGCTTGGAGGCTATTTGGAGTTCCTTATGAAGCCTGCATTAGCCGACACGTATGTAACTTTAAAGAGGGAGCTCGAGGAGCTGATTCAGAAGAAAGTAAGTTTTCCTTCTTGTAGCTTATAAAATCTGTACCCAATGAGATTATCGGCCAGCTTCATGGGATCGTTCGGCTGTAACATTTAAAAATTTACAGATTATGCGAAATCCATAGATTTGAAAGATACATGTTGTGGCATTTATTTTAAAAGAAATGCTTCATCAAACAAGGGCTTTGAAAGGTATCCTATGCTCTTGAACTTTTGTGCACCAATCCTTGAGCCAAATCCTACATCATAAAGACCACTTAGTTTCTTACATAAATGTTCTCCGTGTAGTTTAATGCTGTTCTATCTCCATTCGTGGTGTTCTCCTTATTTGTGATTTTCACTTATTAATTTTGGACAAGGGGAATGACTAATTTGTGTTAATTGCATCTATGTGGGGCAGCTTCTGGATCCTGAGTTGGACGTGCAGTCCTATTCCGAGTTGTTGATGGCGATCCGATTGCTGGTGACAGAGGATCAATGTGAAGGCAGATTTGTATTTGGTCGTCAGCTGCCCGCCGCCCCAAAACAGAAAATCCGAGTGGTGAGTCCAGGTGGAGGTGGAGGCGACAATTCTAAGAACGAGCTCCAAACTTTGCTTGCCAGGGCAGGACATGGATCCCCTTCATATAAGACCAAGCAAATGAAGAACAACCAGTTCCGTTCCACAGTGATCTTTAATGGTTTGAACTTTGATGGACAACCTTGTGGCAGCAAGAAAGAAGCTGAAAAGGATGCAGCTTCCCAAGCTATATTGTGGTTGAGGGGAGAGAATCATTCGTCATCCAGAAATATCGATCATGTCTCAATGCTTCTCAAGGAGAGCAAAAGCAAAAAGAAAGGCAGGATGACTGTCCCTAGTGGTAAATGGGGTTAAGAGTTTACTTTGATGAAGACCTTTCAGCGTTGTTTCTGTCGGCAGAATACGTCCTTGCTCTGGTCGAGTTGTATATTTGAGCGAAGGGGATATAAGAGAACAGATTATGCTCCAGTTCTTGGTCCTTCCAGCCTCTGGCTTCGATATGTCCAAGAAGTTAACCAATTTTGAAGGTGCAAGTATGGAGACGATCAAGCTATCTAGGCAATAGATAGCTCAAGAACTCCTCTAACCGTTGCTCGACTCAGTTATCGATATTGACGGATGTGCCTAGAATAGCAGTTTCTATGAGATTTAGGCAGAAGCTATACCAATGTGGCATACTGATTGACTAATGTAATCATTAGATATGTAGGAATCGCTACACATGATTATTGTACAGCTAATATAGCAGGAAGTTCGATTCTCAACTTTTGCTATTCAGAGTTATGAGAAGTCTGAATCAGTTCATCCACATTTTGCACTGGAGTAAAGAAGAAGCAAGCTTTTCTTGATTTTTTCTGACCAAAGCGTCTCATTGCTAATCCAAACTAAGAGAAGCATAAGTCTCAGTGTCAAGAATTAATCTGAGGGGGAATCCTTATTCTCTCTTGAAAACTGATTTCCATATCTAAGAAACTCTCATTGTTCGTTCAATGCTTGCTGCGACGATCAAGTAGTTTCTTAAACCAGTAAGCTGACATTTTTGGGTAACGCTTGAGGTTGCTATAGTCAACATAGACAATCCCGAATCTGGAAGTGTAGCCTGATAGCCATTCGAAGTTGTCGAGCAATGACCAGGCAAAGTAGCCTATCACGTTGGCTCCATCGTCAGCAGCCTTCTTCAACTGTGCAAGATACCCCTTATAGTAGTTGATCCTTACAGTGTCATGCAACCCCTTTGGAAGCGTCACATTCCCAGGTTGATCCATACCTACAACCAAGAGATCATCAGTCATAATCCAGGAAAAATGTACACTTTTCTTTTCTAGGTAAGCCTTGTTTCATATGTTCATAACTTGAGCCTTTAGGGCTTACCATTTTCGGACAAGATAACTGTAGGGTTCCCATACCGTTCTTTGACATACATCAAACACTTGTACAATCCCCATGGAACATTATAGAGCCAATAGGAATGCGCCTGCAGAAACAAAATGTTATGAAGCCGTAGTCTTTTCGTGCCATGAAATCAATCTTCCCAAGTTCAATTATCAGAAGTAGTCTGTAAGGAAAGAAGAGTTACCTTTGGGCCAATAGGGACTCCATTTTTTGCAACTGCAATAACAGCAGAGCTTTAGTCTTTAAAGGGGAGAATGCATTAACACTATCTCAAGAAATAGAAAATAGAACATCCTTACAGGCGAATCCAGCATTCCAGTCTTGCTGGTAGCCGAACACCTTGGGCTGCTTCTGATGTGGATTATACATATAATATGCTGTGTATTGGTTGATACCGATGTAATCGAAGGACCCTTTAACCATCTTCTTCTCTTCTGCTGTGAACTTGGGCAGCCTTTCCCCGACGATCTCTTGCATTGTCTTTGGATACTCACCATAAACAATGGGATGAAGAAACCTGCGACAAATAGTGAATAGAAAACCATAACTTTATCAGTTAGAAGTTCACTAACACATAACTAGAAGAAGAGAAAGAACTACAATGTACCATCCAATGTGGAAGTCTCGGGCTCTTTGAGCTGCATAGTTGTCAGCTTTCCCTCTAGTTAGGGGTTCATACCAAACAAAGTCCAACAAAGTTCCAATCTTTCCCTTTTGTTTCTCCTGCATTGGAACCCAAATTCGCAAAGCAACGATTAACTTGAATGTCGAGCTTATGAAGTGAAAACAAAAGTATGTAAGTCACTAACTTGATACTTTTCTCGATATCTCTGGACCGCGGTAGCATGAGCGAGGATCAAGTTATGAGCAACAATGTAAGGTTCGGTTCCAGAATTCCCTACTGTACAATTGCCATATGTCTTTGAACATCTCCCAGGAGCAAAGATGCCATTGTCGTAACCGAGAGCAGCCGTCACTCTGGGCTCGTTGAACGTCATCCAGTTCTTCACTCTGTCTCCAAATGCCTTGAAGCAGAACTCTGCATAATCCGCGTAGTCGTTCCTATACGAATTTATCGAAAACCAGATTACTTGCGCGAACATATTTTGACATGATATCACTGGACTAGAAGGCAACGAAAGCGTTCGAAGAGACTACTCACACAACTTGGCGGCCCAACAATCCCAAGTATCTCTTCTCCAGCGCCAGAGGCATGTCGTAGTGGTAAAGGTTTGCATACGGAGTAATACCTACAAAATTCATACCATAATCCGCAGACTATAAGGATTAACAAGGGGCAGCCTCAAATGTCATTTTTTAAATCTCCTGGTTGGAAAATGAAATTAAAAATTGTACCTTTTGATACCATGTAGTCTATCAACCTGTTGTAATAAGCAACTCCCTTCTCGTTCACGTCTCCCGTTCCATCTGCATTTTCAACTCGTAACTCATAAGCACACCCAAACACAACAAAATCGAGAGAAGCAGTTCAATTCCATTGAAATTGTTTTCGGACTAGTAATGGAATGGTGTAGCTAATTACTTGGGAAGATTCTTGACCAGGAAATGGAGAATCTGTAGGCATCGAAGTTCAGCTTCACCATGATGTCCACATCTTCCTATACCACCATCCAACAAATGAAAAGTTTATATTCAGATCATGTAAGAGAGATGAATATGTGCCTCTTTGCGGAAAGAATGGAAAGTATGGGTATCATAAGGGGAAAAAGGATTCGCGTACTGGTTATGTTATGTTAAGAAGCCCAATGGGCTAAAGAAAAAGCCCGTCGGGAAAACGTACCTTGTAGCGGTGATACTGATCGACCGCGACCTCCCCGTTTGCGTTATTGGCCACTACCCCTGCAGTAGAATTAGAATAGCAACGTTTTATAAAACTCTAGGTATTGGCTGGTTAGATCGAAAATTTCAGATACTCGAGACGATTTTAGCTGTATATAACGGTAGAACTACATATTCGTATAAAATATTCTATCACTAACTTTATCATTCCGATTATTTCACAATTATAAGAATAACATGGTTGTAAAATCTATTTATGTCGTAATGTCGGTTTGACAAATTGTATACTCAGACTGGTGGTACAATCAATTTATTGCAGCTCGTTTTATTTGAAGATCGAATCGAGAACATTCCAACCGATTTTGTAACAGGTTGAACCCGGTCTACCGCCCCGGATGAAATGACAAAATAAAAATTGGAAAAAAAATGTATATATATGATATGAGATAGAAGAGGAAAGCGCACCGGGACGGCGGATGAAGTCATCCCAAATGCTGGGCCCACGGCCGTCCTTGCTGGCCATCCCTTCGACCTGATAAGCCGACGTGGCGGTCCCGAACTGGAAGCTCTTGGGGAAGCTCTTCCGGCTGAGTCCTCCGGTGTCGAATTCCACCTTACTCATCTCCCACGCGCCGCCCGCCGACGGCGGGGTGAGCGCGCTGCAGCAGCACTGGAATGTTGCTGCTGTAGACAACAGCAGGAGAACGCAGCAGTAGGGGGGCAGCTGAGAATTAGATCGGCCGCCTCTCATCTTCAGTCTCGGCTAGTACTGCGAACAATTAAGAAAGAAGATGACTAGAGAGAGAGAGAGATAGGGAGAGAGATGAGAAGAAATGGAATGAATGAGAGGAGAGGTTATTTATTGTAGAGGGACACATTCAATCGTACGTGTCAACCGATATTAATTGGCTTCGGGTTGTGGATCTTGTTTGTTTCGACTAATTAGTTTCCGTTTTCTTGTTGGTATGTACGTACATTAATCCAGTAGCCAGGAATTATGTCAAGGTGGTGAAAAAAAAAACCATAACTTATATTAATTTTTTACAATGACCCACGACGTGTTTTCATAGTCTAAAAAGTATCTAAAATATATTCATCATCCAAACTATCAAGGATGTCACTCTCAATGTAACCAACCAAAAAATCATTCATGACGTCATCACTCATTCTATTGCGAAGTGTGTTCTTCACATAGTTCATTGCAGAAAATGCTCTTTCAACGCTTGCCGTGGCAACAGGAAGCAACAATGCCAATTTCAGAAGTCGATAGACTAATGAAAACACCCGATCAAAACCAAAGTACACAATAAATCAAATAGGATATTTGACACATAATCAAACAATAAACCAAAAATATGCTCTCAACCAATAAATCAATTCTCCGTTCTAGATTCCCAATCCATACAGCCAACTCTAAAACCTAATTCTCAATAACTAAACTAAAACCAACTCAAGACATGAAAGTCAATCAAAGTTAAGAAAGCAGGGACGTGCACCCCAAGCCCAACGAATGGATACACCACACAACAGTGGATTTTTATCGCCGGCTTAACGGCTTATTGTCGATTTTGAAATCTCAAAGAACACTCACCAATGAGAGGAATTGGAGTTGGAATCGGAGTTGAAGATAGAGACTACGCAAGATACGGTGGTTGACGATGGTCACTCGAGCAACCAGTGGAGGAATGAACGAGTTGAGGGAGGAGGTTGCACCATTTTTTCTTCGTACAGGGGAGAGGGACGAGGAAGAGGAAAGTCGGCAGTAGTAGAATTAGGGCTTCGGATGGGGGAAATAGATGAGGTCGTTTAAATTTAAGTAAACTAACATGTTACATAAAGATAAAATAAGTTAAATGCTAATAATGACATGACATGGAGTAAGTGGCGTGATGGCTGAAGTTGTTAACGGATTAAGGGAGGTCACTAGTTCGAAACTTCATTCTAGCAGGTGTAATAGCTGTATTTTTTAGCTGGGCCTTGCCAGCCCAAGGGGGTGCAGCCGACCTCCCTTGGGTTGGATATCGTCCGGTCTTGACCCGGTTCGGTCCCAATTCGGTCTTGATTTTATATTGAGCCTGTGGGGATTTGAGTGGCATAAGGACTTAAAGGGTGAGGAGTTGGTTAAGTTTTGTACTAAGTGCAAAGGTTTGTGACCATTTATGCAAATTAAACTTAAGTTTTGGGTGTTGAGCTCTCTTATCCGGTCTTTATCTAGTTTTTGATCCGGTCTCGAACAGTTTTTTTACCTCAAATCTAAGCACAAAGATTGGATTGGATTGTTTACTATCTGGTCCTGGTCCGGTCTCGGTCCGGGTTATACGGTCCGGTTTCGGGTAAAACCAAAAAACCCGGACCAAATAGTCAGCCCTAGGTAATAGTTTCTCTTTATAACTCCAACCAATATGTTAATACTCACACGTATTTTCATATTACGTAAGGCAAAAAGTACGGCAATAATTCACTATAATGAAGAAAATCAATTAAAATAATACAATTTCATGAAAATATTATATTTATATGCTAAATATAAAGTACGTTAGAGAAAAATAATGATTGACATATGCATGTGTATAATTGGGCGGGTTTTGGTTGGATAGTGAAAAAACCATGTCCACCCATTACCCGCAATATTCGGGTTCGGGTTTTACCCGTACCCACTAAAAGTCTTTCGGGTTCGAGTTTTACCCTACCCAATTAGGCCGAATTCGGGTGGATATCCATGATTACGGATATTTTTGCCATCCCTACATTAACCCTTGGTCGTGTTTTGCAGTGCGTGAAGAAGCCATCCTTTGTTTTTATTGCTATCAGTCACTTTTGGTGATTTCGAGTTCAGTCAATATGTGGTTGAAATGGTGAAGGTGTACGCAACTGTTATCGTCGGATCGTAGCTTCTTGATTTTAGTACTTTTGATGGATATATTCGATGTGTGTTTATAAAAATAATGTCACCGCATGCATCCAACGATTGAGATTACCGGTAATACGCTTGATTAAGTGTGTTGATTTTGACGTGATTGATGCGTAGCTCTTAAGAATGATATATAGCAAAATTCAAGTTGAATAACAACTTGAGTATGGTCCATGGTCCCCTGTGTCACCCGTCAAAGAATGTGTTCAAGTGGAGTGTTCTTATACGGTGGTGTATAAGGGTAATTGGCCAAAGTAGTTACTCAAGCTGGGATAGGTAACGAAATGGCTACCGGGCTTTGAAAAAAGGTTACACAACACAACACAACACAATAGTGACCATCATGGAAATACTTTTTTCAAATCAATCGCCCAATTCAAACTATATATAACAAAATGTGATCTTCCAAGCCAAGATGAGTATTTGTCCTATATTTTTTTAGAGCAATCTCTTGCTAGAATAAAAATCACTCATGTTCAACTATATATCACGGTATAATAGCAAAATGTTAAATCCGTCTACTCTTGTTCATGTTCAGACATCCAACGCACACAATCAGCCAAAGGACTCAAATAAAAAATGTTACAGAAAACCTCATAACCCAACCAAACAAGTTAAACCGAACCCAAGCTAAGTATTAATCTAGACAAACAAAACAATCATACATACCCGGCCACGTGTCCAAGTACATTACATTACTAACTTCTACTCGCCAAGCCATGGCATCATGAGTTGAGTTTGCTTGCGTCGAAACAAATGAGGTTCAAAACGGGGCAACGTGTGAATGTGAAGAAAGATCAGTACCGGCCGTAAGGAGAAACGTCAAGAACACAAAGAAAGAATTCAACTGCAATTATTCAATTCTGTAGTGTACAGCGGAAGGTGGAAGGAAGGAATCAATGGAGGGACGGGGACCAAAGTAATAAAAGAGAAACGGACATCCAATCCAATATGTGGATTGGACTCACGGAACGGAAGAGATATATCTCTCGCTCTCGTAAATTGCACTCGGACTCACTCAATAATGAATCATGGGACCGTCAGAGATTCCCCTTACCTAGAGCCAAAATTTTGGGCAACCAATACGACACCCTGTTTTCACGTGCTCCTCATCACACTACACTAGTCAACCCGCCCGGGGTCCTACAATGAAAATGACGTTTAACCACGGCAATCAGGATCGGGTTATACCCTTATCGTTTGGTTATATTATACTTAAGAAAATGGATTAAGGGACAAGATAAATCTTTTCTCAGACGATTATTGAGATTAGGACATTGCCCTGCTCTCTGAATTCGTGATTCTCTTGTTGATTGCCAACTTTTTCGTAGGGTTATGGGTATAATGTGCCCTTCGTGATTCTCATTCACTCTTGGTGATAGTAAAAGGCATTCGAACTAGTAGATTTTTGGGTTATAGGTATAATATGCCATTTTACTATGACGTTTTATCAAACACGTCCCTTTACTATTTTTTACATCAAACATGCTCCTGTACTTTGTAAAAATAATCAAACATGCTCTTTTGTTAAAATTTTCATAAAAAACCTTTAACCAAGGCCGAACTTTAGTTTGGGCGACACAAATGACTAAAATATCCCTAATAAATTCACTTTAGAATTTTTTTTGGTTCTTTTGTATGATACTATAATCAAATCATTCAAATAATTTCACTTTGAGAAGACCAAGGAAAACAAAACAGGGGACAAAACAGACGTTTTCCCTCCCATTTCCCGATGTTGGGTCGTCTAAAAGGCATGGTTGATAGTTTTTTCAAAGTACAAGGGTATATTTGATGTAAGAAATAGTAGAGGGGCATGTTTGATAAAACGTCATAGTAGAGGGGCATATTATACCTATAACCCTAGATTTTTCAGACGAGAGAAATGAAAGAAAAAGATGCTCGACAGGGGGAACTAGCTCAACCGGATCGACTTATCACTAGGGGTGGCTATACGGTCCGGTCCGGTTAAATTGACCCGAATTGTTCCGGTCCCAGTTTGGTCTTTTCCGAATAATAAAGACTAAAGATTGGATTGGATACAGTCCGATCTTGATCCTGTCCGATCCCAATTCGGTCTTGATTTTAAATTGAGCTTGTGAGGATTTGAGCAGCCTGAAAGGATGAGGAGTTGGTTAAGTTTTAGATGTTGGGTTCTCTTATCCAGTTTTCCGTCCGATCCCGAACGGTTTTTTACCTCAACTCTTAGCCCAAAAATGTGATTTGATTGTTTGCTATCAGATCCCGGCCCGGTCTCGATCCGGGTTATTTAGTCCGATTTCGGATAAAACCAAATAGCCACCCCTACTTATCACCACAGATTTATCTCCCAAAGAAGGAAATGCTTTCACTTCTTCTAACCAGCAATATCAATGAAGCTTGGCAATTAAATAAATAGTTGAAACAACAAACAATAATCACTCCCATATCAAGGCAAAAGCCCTCAAATAGGTGTCTCCTTGGAATGGAACCCAAACTCTGAATCTCTCTTTGATACATACAACAGACAACGAACCAGAAAACACAACAAACGGTAAGAAGAGGCAAGACCAGGAAAGTAATATAGCTCACATTACATTTGCCAGCAAACCACACGGCCTCACAGAAATACGGAACCATACCCAGGCATTGTCCCTGAAAGCCAGAACACCAATGAAAACGGGTTCAACCTTCCTCCGACTCCCAAACTGCATATAGCTCAATCACGCTTGTACAACACTACGCGGTTCATACTCAAGTATGCATCATCCAGACATTCCAACAATTGGTTGAGTCACCTGGAACACTACTTTACAACAACCTACGGACAGACACTCGTACTGCTAACGCTCATACCTGTTCGATTGTAACCTGATCAAGAGAGCTTGTCAGCTAAGCTAGCACACGAAATTCCAACACAACTCAAGGTGGATAAGCACAAGCTTGATTCCATTCAACTTCAACCCTGCGGAGATCCCTTCAATGTTCTTTTCCGTGAGGGGTTAAGTTAACCTCCAAACACGAATACAAGCATCCTCTCCAGAACTTGCCACGCTGCAGTCATCAACAAAAGCCAATCCATAAACCCCACCCAGGTGAGCTCCCTTGATGGTCATCCTACTAGAAACTGCCTTGTCCAGTTCATATACGATGATGGATGTGTCGAGTGATCCTGTGGCGATCATCCGATTGTCGGGAGACCAGGATAGGCAGTTTATCCGGGCTGTGTGGTACAACATGTTCTTGAGCTTCACCTGCAATATAATACAACATATAAGCATATATGTAACCAATAGCTTATAAGTCCGACCAATCTAAATGGATTTAAAGGGAGAATATATAGAAGATTGAAGAGCGGAAATTAGGTATTTTGATGCTATGTGGACATCAAGCAAAAGAGTTTGAAGCTTCATGTAAGAAGGAAGGTCAGGTTTGGTTGCCCAAGATTATAACCTCTTGAGACCAATCTGATGCATTCAGGCAGAACAAAAATACAAAGGAAAGTAAACACTTGCAACCTAAGGCACAAGATTAACAGTCAAAAGTATTACCTCTCTCGAGACCCGATCCCAAATTACAGCTTCTCTATTTGAATCACCAGAAGCAAACATGGATGTATCTGGAGAGTAATCAATCACAGTGATAGCACCTCGATGCTTTTCAAGCACAGCTTCTTCTGTAAGTGTATCACCTCTGATAGAATAGACATGCAACTTGCCATCTTGCCCACCTATGATTGCTTCAGATCCATCTGGTGCAACTGCAGATGCAGTTACGGGAAACCCAAGATTGATGGTTGAAACAACTTTTGTACCATGAAGCATGACAACACCAGAATCAATTGTGACCAAAACTAGCTCGGGGCAGTTAAGAGCAAGGCTGAAGTCTTTTGGTTGACTCCCAATGTCGACGGAATCTGAATCTCCACTTAACTTAACTCGCCATATCTAGTCAATGATAGCAATAAATAAATCAAGAGTGGATCTACGAGGAACTTTTGAAGCAGAAAAAATCACACTGAATGTAATATGAAGCTATCATGGGACTAAAAAATTAACTCAGTAAAATGGAAGAACTGATTGAGCCCTGCTCAGAGATGGACAAGCCACAAGGCTCAACCAAGGAACATTATATACTTGAATGCAATATTGGAATGCCATAAAGTGGAATGCAAAAATAAATATCATTGCCAATAAGGATATAGTCATTCAACAGTTAGATTGATTGTATACAACTCAATAGTAGCACATAAACACCTGAGGCTCTCCTAGAAAAAAAAGAGGCACTGCCACAAGGACTTGAATTCGAAAGACCACGAAAGAAATATAAAGGTGAGGAAGTTTTGCTCATTTAACAACTTCTCATAAATCTAGTACCTATGTTGGACTACCCAGAATTTCTGATTAAACTACCTCCTCTGCCCCCAACATAAGAACTTACTTTTTTAATTTTGTAAACATTTAATCATTTGTCCTACCTTGTTATTAGACAGCACAAAAAGAAGATATTCCAGCAATACGCCTACCAAGTAAATGAAATGCTCGTGCAGAATCAACAATTAAAGATCTCTATGAAATGCTACTCTAATTCAACAACAAGCCTGCTAAAACCAACTATTCTTCAAATTCACCATCCGATCATACAATTGCATTCTGCTTGAAAGAAGAAAAGTATTGGAAACACCTAAAATAAGTGATAGCTGGACTTTATAAATCAAGATATTTTATTTACAGGGCAGAGAAGGATCTTAGATAATAGATACCTTATTGTCAAATCCAGAAGTAACAATCTCTTCGTCAATAGCAGCTAAGGATTTGATTTGACTAGTTTCCTTCCTCTGCAATTTACCATTGTACCCAGTTCCCTGAATCCACCTAATTATCAAACCATCATAGCTACTTGACAGTATAGTCTTGGGAACACTGTTAAGGACAGCTAAAGAAGTAACATTCTTCAGGTGTCCAGATATTTGGACAGGACTCTTATCAAGATCACTTGCAGAGAAAATACTAATTGTCCCCCCAAGAGAAACTGTGACAAGATGGTCATTCTGCCAAAGACAACCAACTAGCATATCATCAATTCCACCCGATTCTCCACAAGTCAATGTCTTCTTCAATTTCCCGCTACCATCGCCACAGATTTCCCACACTTTTGCAGACTTGTCAGCAGAAACAGTAAGCACCTACACGTGAAAGTAAGCCTAAATATCAGTATCAATAATCCATAGCCAATGAAAGTAGATAAGAATGCAACTAAATGAAAGAGCACGTTAGTCAGCTATGCCATAGTAGGATCTAGAGATATCACAATTAGCTCTATCACCGAGCTAAGACCTTAGCTACCTGTTTGCTATCAGGACTCCAGCTAACAGCATAGATACTGCCCTTGTGACCCTCCCCCGAAGCCAATTCCCCAATCTTCTCAGCAGTCTTTCCGTCAAATATGAGTCCTTTCTTGTCAGAACTAACACTAATGTACTTGCTACCATCTGGGGAAAATCTTACACAATTGACGAAATTCGAATGATCCCTGAACATTCACAAACAGAAGGCTGCTCACTACATTTGCTCTTTAGAGGTGTAATCATCCATGAGATTCACATCAAAAGCTAAAGCAACTAGCTAGCTTGTAACACACCTGTGAGAAAGCTTGAACTTAAATGGAGGCCCTTCATAGAAGTTGACCAAGAAGTCCTCCCCACAAGTCACAATTCGAAACGGCCTCGTCGGCTTGAACGCACAGCTCAAAACTCGCCTGGAATGCCCATCGAATTCCCCGACATTTGTGCCCGAATCCCACCTACGAGTGGTACAGAAATCCGTATTGAACCCAAACCAGTAGAGTTCCAGAAAAAGGCTATTTCCGAGAAACGCAAGAAAGAAAGAGAGTGGAGAATTGGAATTACATGAAAGCTCGAACCAGCGATTTGCCCTTGCCGTCGCCTGCGGCAACAATCCTGAGCCCGTCAGGGGACCACTGAAGATCGTCGATCCGGCCAGTCAAGACCTTGAACTCCTTCTTCAAAACGTGGTCGTTGTAGGCCCCCCAGATCCTGACGGAGCCGGAAGCATCACCGGAGGCGATCCACTCTCCATTGGGCGAGAATCTAGCGACGGTTGCCTGGTAGGCGTGCTCGCCGTAGACGGAGACGTCGAGAGGGTTGTCGAGGTTGAGAATTAGGACTGAGCGGTTGTTTGTGTACAAGATGGAGTTGGACTTGGGATGGCCGGAGATGAGAATTCCTCTCCCGCGCTCCGTCGACGGCGCGCAAGCGTAGGTCTCCGCCAGCTCCGGCATGATCGGAAGGCAGAGAGACGGCGAGATTTGGCGGGAGGAGATCGAGGAGTCCTGGAGAGTGGGAGAGGGAAGTAACAGATAGCTGGGAGAAGAAATGGGAAGGGAAAGTAAGGAAGGTTTTTGGGTTCCTGTAATTCGGTACAGAGATTCGTGCAGCGCGCTATACTAGCAAATCCCAACTGTCAATTCAAGTCAATGCGTTGAAAAATGAAAAATCTTAGTTAGTGGCCCAAAAGTATTCCAGCACGGGCCCGAGGCCCAGAGCTTAAAGCCTAATATTCCGGCGGCCCAATATTCCGAACCCACGTTCTTTCTCGCTCGCAGAAATACACCGTGCTTCAGGCTTACATATATAAATAAATAAATAAATGCCGACAGCTAGGGTTTCAGAAGAGAACAGAGAGTGCTCTGAACTTGGTTTTTGCCAGTAGGAAAATGGCTCCAGCGGCGAAGAGTGGTTTGGCCGTCGGTTTGAACAAAGGGCATATCGTCACGAAGCGCGATTTGCCGGCTCGTCCGTCCGACAGAAAGGGGGTAATTGAATTAAGCCCTTCTTTCTACTTAGCTGTTGTTTGATTCATTGTTGCTTTCGCCTGGTTTTTATCGCTCTGCTATACCTGGATTCTGATTTTTGCGATGTTTCTTATCTGGATATTGGATTCGGTGTGGAATGTAAAGAAAACGAGCAAGAGGGTGCACTTGGTCAGGAACCTGATCAGGGAAGTTGCTGGATTCGCACCGTACGAGAAGAGAATCACGGAGCTTTTGAAGGTCGGGAAAGACAAGAGGGCGCTGAAGCTGGCGAAGAGAAAGCTCGGAACCCACAAGAGGGCCAAGAAGAAGAGAGAGGAGATGTCCACCGCACTCCGCAAGATGAGGTGAGTGAGCTCTGGTTTCTTCCTTCTTGGTTGGTTTTAGCTTATGCGGATTCTTAGAGATAAGAATGGAGGTATTTGAGTTATAAGAATTGGGCGCTTGTTTGGTAATCATGGTGAGGGATTGAAATGGAAAGGAAAAAAGGGCATCCGCAATCTCAGTTTAGCTGAGGTTTTGATTGGTAGAAAACAACATCCTATGCTTCGCTTTGCTCAGCCTGAGAATGTGCGTCCTTACCTCAAAAGGTCATATATTCTGTCTTCTAAGATTGAACCAATGCCATAGGGACTAATAGATTTATTAACCCTTTTTTGAGTTTAATACCATTATGTTTGCTTTAGACGTTGACCATGATTATTAGTTCCTTGTTACTTAGTTCCTAAGATCATTGCTGCTAGTTTCTTAACCACCATTGGAACTTGGCACATGTCTTCTTCTGCTGCTGTACTCAGCTGACAGCATTTGCTAGCCAATGAACGTTTACTGCACATGTAATACCACTGATGGATGATGATTATATATCGTTATTTTTTACTTTATGCCATTTCGATCATTCATAGCGTTGTTGTAATCAGATCTGTCCTCATGATTCATGAATAAAATTTAGGTAGGACTATGGTGGCGAGCTCTGATACTCTGAAAATTGAAACTGATTTGAGTTTGTATCTTCTTGTTTACAGGTCTGGAGGTGCAGGCGAAAAGAAGAAGTGAGAGGGTTTTGAACATCATCATCTTTCCTAGTTTATTTAGGTGCTAAACAAGATTGACAAATGAAAGATTATTGTTTTATGAATAGTAGACAGATTGAAGAGTTGCCACTACATGATTGGATCTTGCTCACGATTGTTTAAGCGTAGGGAAGATCCAGATTGGATGCGGCATCTCACTATTCGGAGCTTTGCTAAGAACATGGTGGGTGCGGAATTTCTTACCCTTGAATCTCTTATTCTTGATGTTGAACTTGCCGATATCATCCTGGTCGTAGTTATGGGCAACATCCTCGTGGTCTTCGGTATAGTACACTGTATCAGCCTCGCAACCTTCAAACTCTGTTGTTGGAATGGCAACCGAATGGCTGTCCCCAATGAACACAGCATCCCCATTCAGATCCTCCACTTCTAGAAAACTCGAACCACCACCGCGAACCAGCTTGAACACCTTAATGTCATTGGTTACCCTGGTAACCACGCCGTATTTATTTCCTATATTTTCGAACCAGCGCACAATCATTAGCAGCTCATCTCCTCTTGACGGTTCCACGATGTAGTGTAGTGCCATTGTTGGCAGTGGGTTGCACCACTTTGGAACCACGAGCTCCAACCGCGGCTGGTAGTCCGCTGTACCAACGCCCTCTACGTTCGCACGTGCGAGCACCCCGCCATCCCCTGTCGCGTAAACCCAGTCGCCTTCATGAATTATCAATTCAGCTAACAGTGGCCAACCCTGAAGGTAAGTCCAGTTTGTCCACTGGGTGAACTGGGTCCAATTTTGATCATCCCTCCCTGGCCTGATCACGACAAGAGTTCTGAATACATCGTACTTTAGGACCGCGGCGACCATATAATCTTGGGGATGTGTTGAAGGGTCGGCAGACAAGACCACTTTCTTGGCTAAGTATTGGGACTTCCGACGGTGGTATTCGATGGTCCGGAAGTTGTTGCTGCTGCGGGTGACGGGTAGAGAGATTCGAGCGCCCGTTAATGGGTTGTAGAGGGTGATGCCGAAGTCGTCTTCTTCGAAAGCGAGCCAGCCGTGGGAGGAACCGCAGCACCTTCTGTACTGCCAAGGGATTCGGAGCTTTGTTGGTAGGAGCTTGTCGCCGCGAGTGGCACAGTACAGACTGCGCCGCTCGTGGCTGCGGTCTTGGGTCGGGACCAAGAGGAGCGGGACTTGCTTTTGGGGGCTGGTGGCAATACGTCGTCGCTTTTGGGACTTGGCCGCGGCATGCCACGGCTTGCACACGGTGCTGAACCAGAGGTAGTCTTGTAAGGAGACGAGGTTTTTTAGGATCGATTCGAGGATGTGGTCCGGGAGCCACGCCCAGTCTCTGCTTCCGGTCTCCTCCGCCATTGGCGTCGGACTAGAATTAATGGAAGTCATCAATGATAAGTATTGGGGGCAGCAAACGTATTTATCATAATCTGTGTGTCCGTGTGCGAATTGGATTAGGAAAAATGCTTGCCGATGTTATACGGCATTACCTTGCAGCAATCGAAACCCATAGCAAATAGAATCGGGACTTATCGTACTTGATCAATTCTCCACATTTCAAGTATACGTGATCAATTATATGGCCATGATAAAATAAAAAAATAAAAAAATAAAAGAAGAAGAAGAAGCAAAACACAAGCACAAATAGACATGACGCAATAAATCGTGTATGGGTATGAAATTAACCGAAATAAAACTCTAATGTGGATAGGGGGTGTTCAAACGGTATGGTTACCATGGTAACCGTTTTAACCAGTACTATTTGGATAATTTGGTTTGGTTAATTTGAATAACTGGTTTGGTTTGGTTAAGGTTCTTAGCTTGTTTGGTTTAGGTGGTTTGGTTTGGTTTCAGACACTCCTAACCAGCCAAACCAAATTAACCAGATAAATAATTAGCCATATATCTAATATATACACATACTTAATACTTTGAATAACCACTCAAGAGTTAAACGTTCATCCCTTTTAGACTCATAAAATATAAAGCTTGATATTGTTCCTATAATGTATATTTGTATATGTAGAGTGTAGACCACGACATATGAACGCCTAGTTTAGATAAATCTCATACATTATGTTGGATGAAAACTTGAAAGTAAGGTCATTTTCAACCTATGAAATTGCTAAAACACTAAGTCAATTCAAACAAACACAACAATTCATTAACTCATACCATTGTGATAAATTTTTGTTACGTAAATACTTCTATACTAACCGTAAGATAATTGTCTTAGTTGCATGTATGTATGTTAAGGGTCAACTATAACTATGTATTGATTGTTATGTTTTATTCATTATATAAATTGTGAATTGATAAATTAACCGAAAACTTTTTCACTTAATGATAATGTGATTTTATATTGGTTAATCTGGTTAACCAAACCGATTAAACTTTAGTTTGGTTAATTTGGTTGTTGTATTAGTTTGGACGGTTTGGTTATGATATTGTATTCCATGGTTAATGAAATTTAGCTTTATTTGGTTTGGTAATAGCCATGGTAACCATTTGAACACCCCTAAATGTGGCTGACTTGACATAAAATGAAAAGTGACAGGCTTTGTCATTTGTCAAGTGCAGGATGAGGAAAACATGCCTGAAGTATACCCATACTGTGCCAATCCAAACACAACCCAGTGTGCTGGTACAATTACATCTCATGAATTTTTCTTTTGCCTTAATACCACTACAAAAATCGGAGGGTTAATTGCATGATTGGTCACTGAGATTACGAAAAACGTTCATGTTTAATCACTCGAGATATTTAAATCCATTCATAGTCACTAGATTTATTAAAACAATTCACATTTGGTCAGTTTCCGTCAAACTTAGTTAACTTTAGATGATGTGGCAGTCAACTCTCATAGTTGACCGTTAAATATATGACGTGACAATTAAAAAATTATGAAAAAATAATATTTAATCATTTTACAATTTCCACCTCATTTTTACAACTATTAAAAATTAAAAAACCCTAATTTTTATCTCCTCCGACAAACATCCTCCTCTTATACCTTATCCCACCAAAACAAGAAATTAACCAGGCATCTCACATAAAGAAATTTGTAACTACCCAGATGAGAAAATAACCGTAAAAGCGTGGGGATTGGATTCCGAGGAACAATAATGTACCTGGTTCTTGTTGGAGTGAGCTGGAAAAGAGCATGATCAAGCAGAGTTCTGGGATCCATTTGTTGCCTCCTTTTCGGGCGAGAAGAAAATAGCCTTCTGGTTTTCTGCATTTCCATTATATACTAAGACTGTACAACGAAGCAAAACAGAGTTCTGAGTCTTGAGGGGAAGAATGATGAACTCCTACTGCAAAGGATTGATGGGAGTCAGAAGAGGCAAACTGCTGAGATGGAGAATTAGAGAACATGTATAGACCTTTATCCACCTGGGCTAAACCAATCCTCTTCCAAGTAATAAGGTCCTGAGTTAGACAAAAATTGGATTGGAAAACCAATGAGACTAGGTGATTTTTGGTAAGTCTACTTACAGAAACAAGATTGTAAGTAAAGGCTGGAACAAAGAGAACTTGGGTGAGGAAGAGTCCACAAGGCAAACGCACGATTCCTATATGAGTAGCATTGACATGATGAGGTGTTGGTGATAATATGATCTGTAGCACCAGAGTCGAGAATCCAGACTGTAGCATGTAAGCTAGCAGAAGAGTGAGTACTTGATGTGCTGGCAGTGAAGTGAGAAGGCTGAGGTGCTGGTGCTCACACGACAGCATTAGCTCAAGGCACATGAGGGGAAGTGGGAGGTGAAGGAGATGGTGAAGGTGAACCAGAAAACATAGCTTTGAGTCTCTCAAATTGGTCTGGAGTAAGGAGGTTGGCCAAACTGTCTGTGGATGCTCGTGAAGAATTACCAGTTCCCTCATTTTTACTCCATGTGGTCTCAACAACTCTAGCAAAGGGTGCTCCATCAGACCCTTCCCTAGCCTTCTTGTTCTTAAGCCTGAAACAGTCTTGGATGGTGTGGTTTTCCTTCTTGCAATATTTCCACCATTTTCTGCCCTCTGGAGTATAATCACGAGGATTCTTGCCTTGTGGTGATCCTTGTTTACACTGAGAACCACCATGAGCTAGCAAAGCAAGTGAGTTCACTCCAAACTTGGCATAATTAAGACCTTTCATCTGCCTCTCAAGCTGTACCATTTGCTTAAATACAGCTTCAATACTTCGCAATTGAGAGTTCATGAGCACTTGTGTGCGAGCAGATTGATAGACATCGTTTAAACCTTGCATAAACTTGATAATGAAATCCTGGTCCTGATATTGCTTCACAGTGTGGTAGGGACTATTAGGGCATGGTGGTGGCGACAAAACTGCAAGTGCACAGTGTCGTACAAGTAATAAAGTGTAAGTAAAATTATCGTTCTCTAGGGGATTGGTGAAATTCAATAATTAACAAACTTTCTTCAAGAAACTATAGATATTGCAAAGATTGTAATCAAGTGATGAGTTGCATAATTACTGAATTTAACCACTCGAAAAATGAAATATTTTGGAGAAATTAACTTTGGAGAGTTTTGGGGGAAACAGAAGATTCTACGATTTACCTCGGTAATTTTAATTACCCTTGTCAATCAATTTAATCCATATTTATACAGTCGGGATACCTCTAAATTGATAGCTATCTCTATCGAGAATTACCACATACTAACTAATTAAGACAATTTCTACTATCGTAGTTAACTGAATTAATTAATCAACCTTAAGAACGATATCCCTAAAATGACTGCATAATTCCCTATTTAATCCACTATCGCTTTGAGAGGCAATTATGTCGTGTGAAATGCATTTGGTTACTAGGCTTTCACTATCGTTATTAACCTAGAAAACTATGAATCATTATGAAGGTGGCCAATCAACACAAAGCGTTAAACAATTTCACACGATAGAAAATGAAGGAAAAACAAGTCGTGGTTAAAACATCGAGGCTAGATAATGAAATCCATAAGTTTCCCCCAGAAATTGGGGGATTAGTTCATGATGAAAAGAAAGTACATAAACATGCTAATGCTCAACATGATAACTAATTACCTAATCAAAGGAGTAGAAAAAGTACTAAGTGTTGAAGTTAATCTTCAACTTACAAGAGTCTTCCTTTCTTCAAAATGCTCAACTCCAAAGTGTGTCAAAGTGAGCTCTCTCCTTTGATTTTTCTCTCCAAAATTTGTCTCTAAAAGTGTCTCCTAAGCTCCCTAGTTGTTGTCCCTTTTAAATCCATTTTCTGCATATTTAATCCCACAAAAAAGGCAATTGCACATCCCATTTCCAAGAGAAGGTTGCTGCCAGCTTAAGTCTCTCTCCTTGCATTTATTTTTCTGCATCTTTTTATCAATACCAAATCCATTTGCTCACTTCAAGAAAACTGATCCAATTCCAATAATTTCTGAGGCTGCTGATGGTTGAGTGAAGATTCCAACCAACAATAATTCGATTTGGGTCTTTATTGGTTTGGCGTCCTGCTGGACGTTTGCCACTGCACGTCTACACTTTGCCACTGCACATGCATTCGTCCACTGCACTTTGTTTTGTTCACAATCTTAGCTTCAATATGCGTTAAATTGCTACATGTCTTGGTAATGACACTAGGGTCATTCCATGGTCAATATGAACTAATTTAGAGCAATTTAAACACATACATACATAAGGATCAATCATTTATGCACATAATACATGTATGTCTATGAAGCTTATCACATCCCCACACTTAGCATTTACTTGTCCCTAAGCAAAAGAGAGAAATGATTGAAAGAGAAGCAAATAAACATACAACTAAGACTCCTAGGACTCAAATAAAAGACACACTACTCCTAAGACTCGACTCATAACATTGTTGCTTGAGTGACGGTGTGACTAGCTGTGGACCAACTATGCTTTGGCGTAGACATCTATGTATATACACTATCGTCAAATTCCACCTATCCATGCATACCTAGGCTTGCAAGTTAGATTACACTCCATCACATGATGTACCCTACACAAAGAATAAACACACTAATAGTGGATTGTGCCAAAACTCATTTAAACAAAGAGTAAGTGAAGTTAAGAGTAAAAGCATGACATCTAGATTTCCTCACAAGAAATGTGTATTTTGCTCAATCACACAAGTGTTTAAAGGTTGGTGTTTACACTCAAGTTTTCCATTACTAGTGCTTACCTGAATCTTGTTCTTCAACCACTATTGGACCGATCAGTACAAACACAAGCATATCAAGATGACAATGTTCGGGTAATATGTGTAAGGCTAAGGGTTAAGGTGAGGTTTCAGAGGAGGGAAATGGTGATCCTCACGAGGAATGAGCTACAACGGTGGACCCAAATCAAGAACTATCTAATATCGAGGCCTTGAACAAATGAAAAATGCATAACATAAGCAACTAGAATTATACAACAAGGGAGGAACATTGATTCCCAAAGATGATTCATCGATCTTTATTTATTTGTCTCCCTTTTTCACTTTCACTATTTTTAATTTTTTTTTTAAAGCTGATTTCTTTTTTTTTTATGGGGGATGAGACTAAAAGATACTACATTGATGATCAATACCTTTTTTCTAAGTAGTAGAAGACAAAATGATGCGATAGAAGGTGCAGTGGCCGGACGCCTATGCAGTGTCAAACTGCAGACTGCAGTGGCAAAATGCATCTCTCAACTATAGCTTCAACTACTACCTTAGAACATCAACTTTATTTACAAAACCATGAAAATGAAAATGGGTCACTATGATCATACAAAAGACCTCATTCCTCGTGAGAAGGGTTCAATGGATGATAGAAGAAAGGGGTAAAGGTGAAGGTGTGACCGAGCCGAAAAACAAGGCAATGTCTCAAAGGGGTTGATCCTAGTTGTCAATGATAGGGTAGGCTTTTTGGCTCGAGTTGCACTAATTGTCTCTATCGTTTATGCTTTCATATATACAACACAGTCCATGCGTGGTATTGATCAAGATTATCGAGACACAAAGCAATGATAAACTTCACACAATATGAAATTTACTTTGAAGGTTCAAACTCATGGCTACTAGATGTCATACCCTACACACTATACAGATTATACTCAATTTCACCTAAGTTCGGGGATAATTCAATTCTAGTGAGTGAATTTTAATATGAAGGTTCATCATGTGAAACAGCAATCCGACTTGCAAGCACAAGTTATGCATTTCAAGGTTAACTTGGGATAACCGGAAGGCATATTCATACTCCGAAGCATAATAAGTTCAAAAACCATTCACACAATCATTTCAAGCAACAACATAATACCATCATCAAAGGGAGATGCACCAGAATTTACAACTTCTCCGGCAAGGCACAAGGAGTGTGGAAGATTATTACCAAGAGATGGAGACCTTAATGATCTGTGCCGATGTGAATGAAGATAGGGAGGCCACTATTGCTCGTTTTCTGCAAGGTCTTAATAGAGATATTCGAAATGTGGTAGAGATACAATCCTTCATTGAACTGGAGGAGGTGGTAGCCATGGCGGCTAAGGTGGAGAGGCAGCAAAGAACTCGTCGAATTCAGCCTTTTAACTCTACTCCATGACCTATGCCGAGTGCTGCCAATAATTCTAGGCCAAGCCTACCTTTCAAGGAAGGTCCGAAACCTGCTGCCAAGGTGGAAGGATCTAGTAGCAATGTGAAGCAAGGTGGATCATCCGGGGGTATTCAATGTTTTAAGTGCCATGGAAGAGGACATGTGGCTAGTCAGTGTCCCACGAAGAAAACATTGGTTCTCTTGGACAATGGTGAGTATGTATCTGAGGAAGAAGATGATGGAGACGATGTGGTTGGGTCACAGGAGTCGGAAGTGGATGAGTCCATAGAGATGGAGCCACCTACAGGAGCCTTGATCCGGAGTTGTGTTACTAGGAGAGTGTTAACTGCACAACCTCAGGGTGAACTGGAGTAGAGAGAGAACCTTTTCCATACTCGGTGTAAGGTGAAGGGGGAGCTGCTGTCCTTGGTGGTGGATGGAGGTAGCTGCACCAATGTAGTGAGTGCAGGCGTAGTAAAGGCACTTGGTTTGGATACGGTAAAGCACCCAAGGCCCTATAACCTTCAATGGTTGACTGATCATGGAGCTATCAAGGTGACTCGACATGCCCTTATGAAGTTCGAAATTGGGAGTTACAAGGATGAGATCCTATGTGATGTGGTGCCAATGCAAGCGGCACACATGCTATTGGGTAGGCCATGGCAGTTTGATCGCCAAGTTCAACATGATGGAGTGTCCAACAAGTACCAGTTGCGGCATGAGGGTCAGAAGTATATATTGAAACCTCTTTCCCCTTTGGAAGTGTATGAAGACCAGCTTCAAATGAAGCAAGGTCGAGAGCAAGCAAGGAAGGAGGTGGCCGAAGGAAAATTGAAGCAAGGAGGGAATTCCCTTGAGAATTCGAAGGCAGTAATGATAGCAAGAAGCAGTGATCTGAAGCAGGCCATTAATAACCATGAACCCATGATTGTGGTTCGATTCCGAGAGGTATTACTCAATCAAGAGCTCGTCCAAGATGTCCCTCAAGTGGCTAGAGAGGTGTTGACTCAATTTGAAGATGTATTTCCTGAGGAAACACCTATGGGGCTACCGCGCATTCGTGGTATCGAACACCAAATTGATTTCGTCCCTGGAGCTACTATCCCAAATAAAGCTGCCTATAGGACGAATCCTGAGGAGGGCAAGGAGCTTCAACGACAGATTGATGAGCTTATGGCCAAAGGGTATGTTCGAGAAAGCTTAAGCCCTTGTGCAGTTCCTGTTATTCTTGTGCCAAAGAAGGATCAATCGTGGAGAATGTGTGTCGACTGTCGATCCATCAACCAAATAACAGTTAAGTATCGATATCCCATACCACGATTGGATGACATGCTTGATGAATTACATGGTTCTATGCTATTTTCTAAGATTGATTTGAGGTTCGGTTATCACCAAATTCGTATGAAGGAGAGTGATGAGTGGAAAACTGCGTTTAAGACCAAGCATGGTCTTTATGAGTGGATGGTGATGCCTTTTGGGCTTACGAATGCGCCAAGCACTTTCATGAGGTTGATGAACCATGTTCTGAGGCCTTTTATTGGGAAGTTTGTGGTTGTTTACTTCGATGATATCCTGATATATTCTAAATGCTTGGAAGATCATCTGGATCATCTGCGACAGGTCTTGTCGACATTGAGAAGAGAGCAGTTGTATGCTAACTTGAAGAAGTGCACGTTTTGCACCTCTAGTGTGGTTTTCCTTGGTTTTGTAGTGAGTGCACATGGAGTCAAGGTGGATGATGAGAAGGTTAAAGCCATTCAAGCTTGGCCTACGCCCTCGAATGTGAATGAAGTAAGGAGCTTCCATGGCTTGGCTGGTTTTTATAGGCGCTTTGTGCCTAATTTCAGCACTATTGCCACGCCTTTGACTGCTGTGATCAAGAAGAATGTTGCTTTTTCGTGGGGAGAAGAGCATAATAGAGCTTTCGAGCTTCTCAAGCATAAGCTTACACATGCTCCTGTGCTTGTTCTTCCTAATTTTGATAAAACTTTTGAAGTTGAATGTGATGCATCTGGAGTGGGAATTGGTGCA